AGGCAACTGTCAACCAGCTCCACAGGCGGCCCCGTCCAGGAAACACACAGCCAGGCAGACGAGCTCCAAAGGTTCTACAGGAGTTCCTGGAACAGAGCCAGCCTTTTTTATCAGCTGGTTGAGCTTCTTTCAGTCATTAGCTATGATGATGATGATGATGATGAGGATTGTGATGATGATTATGATGAAGATGAGGATGATAATGGAGGCAGAGATCAGACTGATAGATCTGCAGCCTCTGAAGGACCTCAGCTTCCTCTAGAAGTCCAGTCTGCTCAGTCCCTTCTTGCAGACGGCTTCCCAGGTGTGTCTCCAGTCCAGGTTGTTGTCCAGATGAACATCAAGGGATTCCTCCTCCTCCTCCTCCTCTTCTCCCAGGATGTTAACAGGATTCATCTTGTTCGTGTTTCTTTTGAAATCTCCAATCATCTCCTTGTTTTGTTGACCTTCAGGATCAGATGATTGTTTCCACTCCATCCCACAAAGCGCTTCACCAGCTCTCTGTCCTCAGCTTCTGTCCATCTTTGATGCTCCCAATGACTGCAGAGTCGTCCCAGAGGACAGGACTCTGCCTGGTCCTGGAAGTCAGAGGTGAACAGAGGAAAAAGGAATGGAGAGAGGACCGTCCCCTGTGGTGCTCCTGTGCTGCTGGATCAGCCAGCTGAGCCTTCAGTCTAACAACCTGTGGTCTGTCTGTCAGGTAGTCTTTGATCCAGGTGGTTGTTGATGCCTCCACCTGAGTCTGCTGGAGTTTCTCTCACAGTCAGTCAGGCTGAATCTGGAGAAATCAAAGACCACGATCCTCACAGTGCTGCCTGCCTTGGCTAAATGACAGTGGGTTTGTTGAAGCAGATGGATGATGACATCATCAACTCCATCTCCACGGCGATAAGCAAACTGCAGGGGGTCCTGATAGCTGCTGGTTTGCTTGCTGAGGTGAATCAACAAAAGTCTCTCTAGTCATTGAGGACTGCTGGGTGAGTCTTCTGTGGTCCTGGAACAAGGCAGGAGGTCTTCCACATCCCTGGAAGTTTCTCCAGGGTCAGACTAAGGGGGGAGAGGTGCTGTAGAATCCCACAGAGCCGCTCTGCTCAGGCCTTCAGGGCTCTGACACCATCAGGACCTCCTGACTGATTACCATCCAGTCTCTCCAGTTGCCTCTTTACTGACTTCTAGAGACAGGCGGGTGGAAGGTGGAGGAAACAGCACCACCTGCTGGTCTGGCTGATAAT